TGTTCTGTAAGCCTTCACCTGAAGTACAATAAAATATTTAAAAAAAAAAAAAAAGAGAAATTTATTCTCTCACAGTCTAGGAGGCTAGAAGTCCAAATTCAGGGTGCCAGCTCCAGGGGAAGACTTTCTGTCTCTGTCGGCTCTGGAGAAAGGTCCTTGTCATCAATCTTTCCCTGGTCTAGGAGCTTCTTTGTGCAGGGACCCTGGGTCCAAAGGTTGCACTTGCTCCTGTCTCTTCTTTCTTGGTGGTAGGAGGTTTCTCTGTCTCTCTGTTCCTTTCTCTCTTTTGTATCTCAAAAGAGATTGACCTTATCTTATAAATTGAGTCCTGCCTCATTAATTTAACTGCCTCTAATCCTGCTTCATTAACATCATAGAGGTGGGATTTACAACATACAGGAAAATCACATCAGATGACAAAATGGTAGACAATCACAATATTGAGAATCATGGCCTAGCCAAGTTGACACATTTTGGGGGGACAAAATTCAATCCATAACAAAGATGTTATCACAAAGTTGGTAACCTTGGTAATTTTGTTGTTTTTTTCCCTTTGTATCTTTTTCCTGTTGTATGCCTATTGCATTTTTGCTGTTGTTTGGTAAGCCAGTCGTTCTGAAGTCTTGACTCCCCTTGTATGCCTTCTTTGCAAGTAATTTCTTCTTTAATAAGATGCTTTGGCCTCCAAGTCTTCTACAGGATATAACCAGAATCCAGGAGGCCTGGTACAAAACCAATCCCATCTGAAGGTAATAAACATGGAGTACCCTGTTGCCATGTTGTTGTTAGCGTGGTAGAGTCGGCCCCTGACTCATGGTGAACCCATGAACAATAGAACAAAACACTGTACCTTCCCCATGATCGGTGGCAGATTGGACTGTTGTAGTCCATAGAGTTTTCACTGGCTGGTTTTTGGAAGAATATTGCCAGGCCTTTCCTCCTAGTCCATATTAGTCTGGAAGCTCTGTTGAAACCTGTTCAGCATCATAGCAACATGCAAGCTTCCACTGACGGATGGATGGTGGCTGAATGTGAAGTGCATTGGCTGGGAATTGAACCCTGGTCTCCCTCAGGGAAGTTGAGAATTCTAGCCCTGAACCATCTGTCATGGAGACTATAAAAGAGAAGTCATCTGAAGAATCTCCCTGGGCTATAAGTCAGAGGGGTGCAGACAGGTCCAGAAGAAGACATCGGCCTATGTTGGGGCAAAAAGAATGGGATGAAGTTGCAAAAGCATGAACAAGATGGAAAACATCATGACAACCTCATGAACATGCTGTGGGGAGGGGCAGTGGGTGGGCATACAGAATACAAAACCTAGATGAAAGACCCAGTATGGAAGAAGTCATATCCCTCCAAAAGGGACATTCCTCAGAGCTCTTCAAGCTATAATACTCAAGTCTAAGAACCAATTAAAATGTGCTTGGGTATAATAAAAGAGAATGAGATGCAAAACAGGATGGCAGAGCTAAGGAAACAGGATAAATCATCATCCTAAAGAACTAGAATAAACTTGAAGCAGCTAGAAAGTGGCTGAGGCCTGACCCCAGAGCCCTAAGACCACTCACTAGACCAGTGGTTCTCAAAGTGCTGGACCAGCAGCACCCGCATCACCTGGGAACTTGTTATCCATTGCTGTCAAGTCAATTCTCACTCATGGTGACCCCATGTGTCAGAGTAGAACTCCATATGGTTTTCTTGGACATGATCTTTATGAAAAGGAGCTGTGATGGTTAAGGTTGTGCGTCAGCTTGGCTGGGCCATGATTCTCAGTGGTTTGGCAGTTATAATGTAGTTTGGCAGCTATGTAATGATGTAATCACCTCCATAGTGAGATCTGATATAATGTAATCATTTCCTTGATGAGATTTGCTATGAGCAGCCGGTCACTTGAAAGGGAGTTTCCTTGGGGGTGTGGCCTGTTTCCAATATATGTGGACTTTCTAGCAAAGCTCGCAGGCTTTTGCTTGCTCTGGATCCTGCAGCTGGCTCCTGTTCATCTGACCTCCGGTTCTTGGGACTTGAGCTAGCAGCTTACCTGCCGATCTTGCGATTCATCAGCCTCCACAGCCTGTGAGCCAGCAGTCTGCTGTCTGACCTACTGATCTTGGGTTCACCAGCCACTGCAGCTACATGAGTCAGGAGAAGCGTCCAGCCTGACACACGGACTTGGGGCTTTCCAGCCTTTATAACGGCATGAGCCATTTCCTTGATATAAATCTCTCTCTTTCTGTATATATATGTATAGATATATATATGTGTCACTGGTTTTCTTCTCTAGAGAACCTAGGCTGAGACAGGAGCCCTGGTGACACAGTAGTTAAGCACTCAGCTGTTAACTAAAAGGTCGGCAGTTTGAACCCACCAGCTGCACTGTGGGAGAAAGATGTGGCAGTCTGCTTCTATAAAGATTACAGCCTTGGAGGCGGAGGATATGAAGTGTGTGGCTAATTGCTTCCATGAACAACTGCCTGCTTTGCCGTGAGACCAGAAGAACGGGATGGTGCCCAGCTACCATTACTGAACATTTTGAACAAAGATTCCAAAGAAGAATCCTGATCAAAGGGGGAAAATGCAGAACAGAATGTCAAATTCTCATGGACTCCAGACTTCCTGGATCCATGAAGGTTAGATCAACCCCTGAAACTATTGTCCTGTTCCCAAGATAATCTTTAAACCTTAAACCAAAAATATCCTCTGAAGTCTTCTTAAAACCAAACAATAGTTTAGCTTAACTAGTAAAGAATGTCTGCCTTGAGCATTATGCTCTTTTAAGAACTATATGTGATCAAATTGACAAGAGCAACTCGAAAGATCAGATAGGAACCTTAGGGGACAGTGAATTCATGTTAATGGGGGAGGAACAACTCAGAAAAGGAGGGTGAGAATGATTACATTCTTCGAGTTGTATAACCAATGTCACTACTGTCTTCTTATGCAAATAACATGCACGTTCTACATTTGTTTGCCAGCCATGCCCTCCCCCGACAAGGTATTTTCATAGGCGCCGCTATGCCAGTTTTTTTTTACACGTGGAATTGACTTGATGGCAAGGGGTTTGGTTTTTGGTTTTAATCTTTATGGAAACAGATTGCCAGGCCTTTCTTCTGTGGCACCACTGGGTGGATTCAAACCTCCAACCTTTAGGTTATTAGCAAGCACAAACTGTGCCACCCAGGACCTTGTTAGAAATGCTAATTCTCAGGCCCAATCAAAGACCTACTGAATCAGAAATTCTGGGGATGAGACACACAAAAAAACACAAACCAGTTGCCTTCCAATCAATTCCAACTCATGGAGACTTCATATGTGTCCGAGTAGAATTGTGCTCCATAGTTTTCAATGGCTGATATTTTGGAAGTAGATCACCAGGCTTTTCTTCTGAGGTGCTTCTGGGTGGACTCAAACCTCTAGCCTTTTGGTTAGCAGTTGAACGCTTAACCGTTTGCACCACCCAGGGACTGGGGGTAGAACCCAACAACCTGTTTTAACAAGCCCTCCAGGTGATTCTGATGTATTCTAAAATCTGAGAACCATTGAACCTATGTTCTTTTCCCTCTTGGGCTATATATATAGTTTTAGCATAGCAAAATTATTCAGCTTCAGATTCTAGAACTAGAGACCTTTCTGACAGGGAGATTCTAATTGACACTCCTTATTGGAGAGAAATGGAATCAGAATTTGTTCATTCATTCCACCGACATTTATTAAACATTAAGCTCCAAAGCAGACATTCACCAGATCTGGACAACTTTGTCCCAGACCATCTGGCCGTGAGGCTCAGTAGCATCTGGGGGCAGGAGGGCCAAGTAGACAGGAGTCTCAACCACCTCCTCTGCAGCCCTGGAGCTGTAATCCTCAGCCATGTAGGTCATTACCCAACTGGGGCAGCAGGTATTCAGCAGAATTCTGTCGCCTTTTCTCTTCTCATCCAGATTCCTGGCCTGGATTCGGGATAAGACCATGACTCCCAGCTTGGACACGCCGTACGCCGAGCTGGGCCAGCCTTCCCTCTCGTGCACTTCATTTTTTGTATCCTCCACAAACTTCTTCATGAGGTCCACCAGGTCCTCCTCCGTGAGCATCTCACATCGGAACCTCTCCTGCAGGTCTTCACTGCAGTTATCCAGAGCTTTTAAACCCTCTAAACTACTGATATTCACCACGCGGCCTGAAACAGAGCAATAAAAGTACAGAAATGTGTCCCAGATAAACCATCACTGGCTGAACATACCACATGCACAACAGAGTCATGGCTCAGGTTTAATTGCTGATATAAAAAATTATTCCAGAAGGCATAAATCTGTAAACCAGGGGATTTTAACATTTTTTTGACTCCTATTTTCATTGGATAATTTTTGGAAGTAGATCACCGGGCCTTTCTTCCTAGTCTGTCCACTGTGTTGAAACCTGTCCACCACGGGTGACCCTGCTGGTATTTGAAATACTGGCGGCATACCTGCCAGCATCATAGAAACACGCAAGCCACTCCAGTATGACATTCCGACGGATGGTGAAATCTACCCTCAGTGATGGATAATTGCACACGTGGAGTAGGTTGATTCTCCATCATGGTTTTGATTTTCATTTAAGTTTTTTTGGCCATAGTTAATAAACTACTAATAATTCACAGCTACTAAAGAGACAGTAAGACATTGGATTTTGGTGATGGTTGCACTACATGATCGGTAGTCTCACTGAATTGTACACATGAAAAAACATGGAAATGGCAAATGTGTTATCTATATTTTTACAATACAAAGAAAACCCATAGGACTGTACAACACAAAGAGTATCAACATTGGTTCATCAATTGTAACAAATGTACCATAGGAATGCAAGATGTTAATAATAGAGGACTGCGTGGGGTGGGGGGCAGATGGGCACTCTCTGTACTTTCTGCACAATTATTCTGAGAGCCTAAAGCTGCAGTAAAAAATAGTCTACTATTGAATGGATAAACAAACTATAGTACATACACACAATGGAGTACTATGTAATGATAAAGAACAGTGGTGAATTTGCAAAGCATCTCACAACATGGGTGAATCTGGAGGGCATTATGCTGAGTGAAATAAGTCAATCACAAAGGGACAAATATTGTATGAGACATCTACTATAAAAACTCATGAAAAGGTTTACACACAAATAATCTTTGATGGTTACAAGGGAGGGGAGGGGAGGGGTGGAGGAGGGAACACTAAATAGACAATAAATAAGTGGTAACTTTGGTGAAGGGTAAGACAGTACACAATACTGGGGAAGCCAGCACACCCTGTACAAGGCAAGGTCATGGAAGCTCCATAGACACATCCAAACTCCCTTAGGGACTGAATTGCTGGGCCGACGGCTGTGGAGACCATGGTCTTGGGGAACATCTAGCTCAATTGGCATAACATAGTTTATAAAGAAAATGTTCTACATTCTACCTTGGTGAATAGCATCTGGGGTCTTAAAAGCCTGTGAGTGGCCATCTAAGATACTCCACTGGTCCCACCCCTTCAAGAGCAAGGGAAAATGAAGAAAATTAAAGACACAAGGGGGAGATTAGCCCAAAAGACTAATAGACCACAACTACCATGGCCTCCACCAGACTGAGTCCAGTACAACTAGATGGTGCCCCACTACCACCACTGACTGCCCTGACAGGAATCACAGCAGAGGGTCCCGGACAGAGCTGGGGAAGAATGTAGAACAAAATTCTAACTCAAAAAAAGACCAGACTTACTGGCCTGACAGAGACTGGAGAAACCCTGAGAGTATGGCCCCTGGACATCCTTTTAGCTCAATAATAAAGTCACTCCTGAGGTTCACCTTTTAGCCAAAGATTAGATAGGCCCATAGGACAAAATGAGACTAAAGGGGCACACCAGCCCAGGGGCAAGGACTAGAAGGCAGGAGGGGACAGGAAAGCTGGTAATAGGGAACCGAAGGTCTTTAAGGGAGAGTATTGACATGTTATGGGGTTGTTAACCAATGTCATAAAACAATATGTGTACTAACTATTTAATGAGAAACTAGTTTGTTCTGTAAACCTTCATCGAAAGTACAATTTAAAAAAAAAAGTCCATTAAATTTTTTTAAAAAGAGAGACAACTGAAGTCCCTGGGTGGTACAAACAGTTAATGCGCTCTGCTGCTAACCAAAAGGTTGGAGGTTCAAGTCTACCTAGAGGTGTCTTGGAAGAAAGGCCTGCCAATCTACTTCTGAAGAATCAGCCATGGAAAACTCTATGGAGCACAGCTCTACTCTGACACACATGGGATTGCCATGAGTTAGAGTTGACTCAATGGCAACTGGTTTGTTTAAAGAGATAGGTGGGTCCATAAAAACAAATATACAGACCAAAAACTACAACAATTTGAAGCATTTATGGACATCCAAAACCAGTACACATGTTGAGTTTACACATTTCACCCAGCATCAAAAAAACAGTAATTTTGGGGTCCTTTTCTTTCTTTCCTTTTTGTGATAAGTATATAGGGAACAGAACATTTGCCATTTCTACAATCTTCACTTGTACAGTTCAGTGACATTAATTAAATTCATCATGGTGTACAACCACTACCATTAACCATTCCAGAATTTTTCCATCACCTTAGCAGAAGCTCAGTGTCTTGGAGTTCTTTTCTTAAATATTACTCTGAATCTGTATTTTCTGCCTTCAACTGGATCTCTCTGGATTTTATTTTATTTTCTGAGTGGTATTCTCCACAGATACCTGCCTGGGGGACAGGGAAGTGCTTCACATTCTACTGGGCCCCAACCTCATATGAAGACACCTTCCCTCTATCCTTGAAAAGTAGCACCTCACTCATCTACCAGGTACCCACAACTCTTCAATATTTTCTTTTTTTTATTAATAGTAATATGGATTTCTTTCCCAACTGTTAATTTTTGAAAAATTTGAAACCTACAGAAAAGTTGCAAGAATAGTTCAATGTACACCCATATACCCTTCACCTAATTGCACCAATGGAAACCCTGGTGGCATAGTGGTTAAGAGCTACGGCTGCTAACCAAAAGATCAGCAGTTTGAATCCACCAGGTGCTCTTTGGAAACCCTGTGGGGCAGTTCACTCTGTCCTATAGGGTAGCTATGAGTCAGATCGACTCCACGGCAATGGGTTTTAATTGCACCAGTTGTTAACATTTTGCCACATTTTCACTCGTTCTCTCGCTCTTTCTCTCTAAGATGCAGACATCATGAAGCTTCACCCTAAATACTTTAGCATATTTACGGTAAAAAGGGTGTTCCCCTACATAATCACAATAGTGATCTCACTTAAGACATTTATCATTGTGCAAAACTATTATCTGATGGATAGTCCATATCCAATTTTCTCAGTTGTCCCAATAATGTCCCTTTGGAGTTTTTTGTTTGTTTTAATCCACGATCCAATGTAAGATCATGCATTGCATTTAGCTGTCCTCTTTAGTCTACTTTAATCTATAGCAGTTGACAATGACAAAGCCCTTTTTGAAGACTCTAGGTCAGTATTTTGTAGCATTTCTTCCCATTTGGATTTGTCTGATTTTCTCATGATTAGATTCAGTTTAATAATTTGGCCAGGAATACTACATAGGTGATGCTGTGTTCTTCATTACTTTCTAAAAAGCTTTAGTCTCAATCATTTGGCTGCTACAAGGAATTACATTTAAAAGAGAAAGGAATAAAGAAAAGAAAAATAAATTACAGGAGCTACTCCTTGCCTTTCACGGAAATATATTCCTACTAGTCCATGTGGCACATATGGCTAAGTGCTCCACTACTAGCAGAAAGGTTGGTGGTGCAAACTCACTCAGAGGTGCCTTGGAAGATAGGCCTGGCAATCTGCTTCCAAAAGGTCATAGTATTGAAAACTCTATGGACAGTTCTACTCTGAAGAGTTGACTTCCCAGCAACTAACAAGGGGAGGAGGTATCCTCTTTGACCTGAGGGTATGCTTCTGGGAGGGGTTTCGGAGGGGCCTATGAACACTTGGCCTTAACAGCCAGATGTGTCTAGTCAGCCCTGAGACATCACCTTCTGCTGAGGTCCAGGTGGCCCCCGCCCTGTCCTGAAACAACCTGCAGTCATTCTAAAAAGAGCAGGCAAGTTGCTCCCCCTGCTAGCTTGGTAGTTGATTAATCTATTTACTCAATTGTGAACAAATAAGCAAGCTAACAACTTTCTTTAAAGTGATGCTAGAAAACTAAATAAGGAGTAGCTTTCTAATCAGTCTTGCATGGGAAAAAGTGACTCCCCACAAATCAAGAGGCAATGATGCTCAGCATTTTGTGCCCCCCCCCAGGTAAACTTGAGGTTTATTGAAAAGTCACAAACATTCTTAATGAGTGTATATCAGATTCCTGCTTTGGGAAATGAAATTGATGTCTGGAACCATCAGCAATAACCCAGAGCTTAGAGGATGAGATTCTGACCCCGCTCTAATATCCAGCAAGTGGAAGGCTTGCCAACGATTGACCACTTTGTTGCTAATTATAGTGGTGACCCAACTTAGAAGGCTTCTAGGAAGAGTTTAAGCAGCAAGGGGCGTAGAGGTTCAGTGGTAGAATTCTCACCTCCCATGTGGGAGACCCGGGTTTGATTCTGCGGTCAATGCACCTCTTGTGCAACCACCACCCATCTATCAGGCGAGGCTTGTGTGTTGCTACGATGCTGAACAGGTTTCAGCAGAGCTTCCAGACTAACATGGACTAGGAAGAAAGGCCTGGTGATCTACTTCTGAAAACCAGCCAGCGAAAACCCTACTGATCACAATAGTCCTCCTGTTGTGCAGAGGATCACCATTACACCAACTAAGAGCTGTAAGGAGTACTTACGTGTTTCAGGCCCATGTTGTCCTTATTCATATATACTGAAGTTACCAAAAGGTGGCTCAAGACACTGCCACACGGCCTGAGTCAGAATTTCCCCAAACTGGCACACTGCATTCTAAAAGTGGTAACTTCCCAAATTATATCCGGTTCCGCCTAGTCACCACTTGATAAAGAGCCTGTTACAGAAGCTGATTAAAGACAGTGATTCACCTGTTCTGGGTAGATCCCTGAGCCCCCAGCCTCCCCCAGAGGTGTCCATTATCTTTTAAAATAGCTTGGTTTTCAATCATTTGGTGCTATCATTTTTACTTCAATAGAACTAATTATCCTGATTTGATTGAGTGGTGAAGTCAGAAAACCTGGATACTGTTTCCAGATCTATTACTACCTGGCTTTGTTCATGTAAGGAGCCCTGGTGGCGCAGTGGTTAAAGCACTCGGCTGCTAACCAAAATGTCAGACTTTGAACCCGCCAGCCCCTCCATGGGAGAAAGATGTGGCAACCTGCTTCCGTAGAGATTTACGGCCTTGGAAACCCTACGGGGTTGCTTTGAGTTGGAATTGACTACAGCAGTGGGTTTTGGTAATCTTTACGGAAGCAGACTGCCACATCTTTTTCCCACAGAGTGGCCTGTAGGTTTGAACCACTGGCCTTTTGGTTAGCAGCAGAGTGCTTAACCACTGTACCACCAGGGCTCCTTACATGAACACCCAACTCACTGCCATCAAGTCAATTCCAGCTCATAGCGACCCTGTAGGACAGAGTAGAACTGCCCCATAGGGTTTCCAAGGCTGTAAATCTCTATGGAAGCAAACTGCCAAATCTTTCTCCCATGGAGCTGCTGGTGGTTTCAAACCGCCGACCTTTTGGTTAATGGTTGATTGCTTTAACCACTGAGCCACCAGAGTTCCTTCTATAAAGATTACAGCCTTGGAAACCCCATGGGGCAGTTCTACTTTGTCCTGTAGGGTCACTATGAGTTGGAATCCACTGTACGGCAACGGGTTTGGTTTGGGGTTTGTGTTCATGTCTCTGGGACTCAATTTCCCTCTCTGTAAAGTCAGGGTGGGAACACAAAGATTTCTTCAGCACCTTGCAGGTCTCAAATTCGATGATTCTAAAATAATTCTAAAATGCACCAGGGAGAAGACTCCTTGACAGCTGGTGTAAGATACCCCTACAATGGAATACAAAACAGTTGCAAAAAAGAATGAAGAGGCTCTCTGTTCTGATCTGGAAAGGGCCCCAGATACATTAAGTGAAAAAACAAGGTGGTGAGCATTATACTTATCGTCACCTTTGGGTAAGAAAAAAAGTAAAAAAGAATATACATTCATATTTGCTTAGATTTGCATTTAAAATCTCCACCATCTTGGCCGAGAGCACTCACCACCCTGGTACACCTGGCTCCAGGTGTTCTACAATAGGCACATGCAGCCCTGCCTGCTACTTTTTCTGCTCCCTCCCCACTAAGAAATGAATGGAAGAGTTCTCCATAGAGGCTGGGGTGGGAACTGGGCAGATCAGGGGCAGGAGTAAGGGTGCAACTTTCACCATACGCTTTTTTAGATTTTAAGATTTTTGAATCCAGGGATGATCCTTATTCAGAATATTAATCAGGTATTTTAAAAGCGAGGCCCTGGGTGACACAAACAGTGAAGTGCTCGACTGCTAGCTGTAAGGTTGGTAGTTCGAACCCACCCAGGGGCAACTGCCACCCAGACAGGCCTGGCCATCTGCTTCCGAAAAGGTCTTGAAAACCCTACGGAGCACAGTTCTACTCTGCACACATGGGGTCACCATGAGTCAGAGTTGATTCGACGGCAACTAACATTTGAAACATCTTAGTCTGGAAGCTCCACTGAAATCTGTCCACCATGGGTGACCATGCTGGCATTTGGAACGCTGGTGGCACTTCTAGTAAGAACCACAGACTTCTTCCTAAGAACCACAGTTGACTTCTTGGGAAAGAAAATCCTCAGGGAAGTCATCCTTCTCCTCCCCCTCCCAGCACAGTGGTAATTTCACACGTATGAGTCTGATGGATGGCCCTCTCCCCCACTCGATTCTGTGCCCATGGATGAGACTGCTCTTGACCACTGCTGTTCACCACTGTGTCCCTAGCACCCAGCATAATACCTGGCCTCTGGCAGGCACCCAAGAAATATTTGTTGAAAAATTAATAAAAATTATGTATTGAATAACTGGAGCTCTGGTGGCACAGTGGTTAAGAGCTTGGCTGCTAACCAAAAGGTCGGCAGTTGAAAGCCACCAGCCGCTCCTTGGAAACCCTATTGGGCAGTTCTACTCTGTCCTACAGGGTCACTATGAGTTGGTATTGACTCAACGGCAATGGGTATTGAACAATTGGGGGTGGGGGGTGGGCATAGCCAGAATATTTCCTAAAAAAATTTCTCTCAGATTTTCTGAATCAGCTTCACAAAATTGGGTGCGAGAAGAAAGGAATAATGTTAGAACAGCTACTATCACTGGGCCCCCAGAAGAGCCACCTCCTGCCCCATCACCTTGGAGAAGGACTCGCTGAGATTGAGCAAAGGCAAGAGGCCTTTTGGGACTTGTAACTCCCTATCCACCAACTGTCAGTTTGCTGTACTGTGTGTGGGGCTTTGCATGTTGCTATGACTCTGGAAACTATGTCATTGGTATTCCAAATACCAGCAGGGTCACCCATGGTGGACAGGTTTCAGCAGAGCTTCCAGACTAAGAAAGACTAGGAAGAAAGGCCTGGAGATCTACTTCTGAAAATTAGCCAGTGAAAACCCTATGGAGCACAACAGAATATTGTCTGGTATAGTGCTGGAAGGTGAGCCCCCTATATAGGAAGGCACTCAAAATACACAGTGACTGCAACCATAGACTTGGGCACATGACTGTGAAGATGACACAGCACCAGGCACTGTTTTGTTCTGTTGTACATGGGGTTGTCGTGAGTAGGCGCCAACTCCATGGCAACTAACAGCAACTATCATGCTAGTGTTGAGTTCATGACATAGATCCCAAGACCATGTATCTTTTACAACTAAAGACAGACAGAGAATGTTTTTTCCCCTAAAGAGAAAAGGCACCCCAGGGTGATTCCTGTGGCTTGCTCCTTGCTAACGCAGCTGGACAATCCACATGCTCGCTGGACTTACCATGAGGTTTTATTACTGGCAGCAATTCGGTGCAGACATTCCTCGTGGCAAAAAAGTTTGTCTTCAGTGTCATCTCAGCTTGAATGTCAAAGGGCGTTGGATCATCAGCTTTCACAAAGGAAACAAAGAGAAAGTCATATATTCACCCTGAAACTCATATGACCAAGTGGATCCTACCCTGTAAAAAGTAAAGAAAAACAAGCCAACTTTACAACAATGTTTAAACCACCTGGTCACAGGTTCTCAAACATTAGCTTGTATCAGAATCACGTGGTTGGCCCGTTAAAAACCTAGCTTTCTGAGCCCTACCCAGAGTTTCTGATTCAGCAGGTCTGGGAGTGGTGGGAGTCCCTGCATGGTGCAAATGGTTAACGTGCTCGGCTGCAAACAGATAAGCTGGAGGTTCCAGTGTACCCAGATGTGCCTTGGAAGAAAGAACTGGTGATCTACTGCCCATAAATTAGCCACTGAAAACCCTGTGGAGCACATTCTACTCTGACACACACGGGGTCATGGTGAGTCGGGATCGACTCCACTGCAACTGGCAGGTCTAGGTTGCGGCTTGAGATTTTCTATTAGGTCCCAGGTGATGCTGCAGCTACTGATCTGCGAGTCTCACTTTGAGAACTCTTGGCTTTGACCACTGCTTCTCAGACTTGACGTGCATAGGAGGCACCTGCAAGTCCTGTTAAAATGCAGATTGTGATTCAGCAGGTGTGGGGCAGTCTCCAGGTGATGCAGATGCTGCTGGTCCAAGGCCCGCTCTTCCAGGAGCAAGGGCTCTGAGCTCACCTCAGTACTCTCACCTGACTTCTAGGAAGCAGCATATTTAACCACCAATCCCTCACCTACGTCCTGCTCCCGGGTGGGATCCTGGGAAGGTCGCGGACAGAGTTGCCAGGTGCAAGTGCCCGGAGTTGGTGAGGGCGTAGGGGACGGCGGCTTTCGCTCCAGAATAGTTCACTTTACTCTGTTCTGCCTTAAGCTGGCACGCGACTCTTGGACACTAGATTATATGTGAAGCTGGCCTGTTTATTTCTTTGTACCCTCCAGCACGTGGCAGTTAAATAGCTTTCTTAATTAAGTACCATTAGAATAAGTAAGTAATCTTGATATTTTCCCCCCAAAGGAAAATGCTATTTAAAACCGCACTTATACGTTGGATAACAAACATAAGTTCCCTGGGGGAGGGAGCCAAGGTTCGCTTCCTTTTTTCCCAGACCCTATCAACGCTCTTCATAAAAGAACGTCTGACGTCCACTCGAATGTGCCAGAGAGCGCGAGTCATGTCTTAGCGCTGCATTTCCTGTCCTGAGTAGATGCCTCCGGCATCTGTGAATGCGCCCTTTCAAGGAAAGCGAAAGCCCAAAGTGAGTCTGGAGATGCTTCGCAGAGCAAATGTTTCTGGCATCGTGCGAAAGCTGATGAGCTTAGCAGGGCGTGGCCCCCTCCCCGGAGTCCGGTTTTTTGGCAAACAGCAGCCGCTGACAGTTCTGGGAAGCGGGGGCCGCTCACAGGCCCGCACAAGCCAAGGGACAGGCGGGGCGCGCTGTGCCCGGCGGGTGGCCGCCTTTCAAAAAGCGAGCCACCCCGGCTGCTCCACACAGAGCGAAACCCACCTTCGGTAGGCGAGAGCTGAGTGTGTTCCGAGCGGCGGGAGCTGCCCTCTTGATCACTCAGGAGGGTGAGGGCGCCTGCCTGGAACCCTCAGAGCTCCCCAGGGACCCCTGTCTCCCCGCACCTACACTTGAAGGCGATGCCTGCGTTGTTGACCAGCACATTTAGTCCCCCGTACTCGCGGCGCAGGAAGTCGCGCAGGGCGCGGATGCTCTGCAGGTCGTCGATGTCCAGCTGGTGGAAGCGCGGGCTTAGGCCCTCGGCCTGCAGCTGCTGCACGGCCGCCCGGCCCCGAGCCGCGTCCCGCGCGGTGAGCACCACGTCCCCCGAGAACTGCCGGCAGAGCTGGCGCGCAATGGCGAATCCGATGCCCTTGTTGGCCCCGGTCACCAGCGCCACGCGGCTGCAGGACGACATGGCCAGGTGCCCGGCGCGCGAGGCACCTGCGCGGAGAGCCGGCCAGAGTCTGAGAACCAGCACAGAACTAAGTTCTGGGATCCCAGGCTGCTTCTCCTAGAGAATCAGCCCCCCTCCACCCGACGCCCGACCTCGGTCCCTCCCTTCAGAGGAGGGGCCATCTGTTCCCGACAGTTTCGTTAACGCCCCCTCCTGGTCCAACCCCTCCCCGCACTGCGCCCTGGGACGCACGGAAACAAGCTCACTGGTTTCTTGAACCAGCCTCTGAGGTGAGCAGTGGTCTGCCTGGTCGAGTGGTGTCCCTCCCCCAAAGCAAAACCAGTCAGCGATGGGTCAGTAGGGGCTAGAAATTCATGGGAGTTGGACTGAAGAAACTATTTTGGGAGAACCCCAGAAGCAGAAAAACAAGTGCTGAGTAATATTTCTTGGGTGTGAGCCCATTGTATACTGCAGAATGCAAATGTCTGCTTGTTCCTAAGATGCAATGAAGTTATTTAGACACGGTAACTACTTCTCTGGACATAGGTCCCTTGCTTCCTTAAGAGTAACTCAAAATGAGTGGTAAGAGAAAAAAGATGTCCTGTGATTAGACTTCCAGCTGTGGTCTGGGTACATAGCTCTGTGTGATGACCATCGTGCCTCCAAATTTGAGGGAATGTTTATGTATCTCTTACTGTATGCTAAGCCCTGTGTTGGCTGTTATTTAATACTTACTAACCCCTATGGGTGCTAAGTCTACATTTTAGGTTTGTCCAAGGTCATAGTTAATAAGTGAACACACACACACACACGGCTTCTCTCCATGAGGGCTGTGTACCCACAAACAAAGCTCAACTGAAAATGAAGTCCCAAAGGTGTGTCATGGTGTGGGTGCAAAACAGAACTCCCCACCCACTTTATCCTTCCATGTAATCCAAGTGTGTTTGATTAGTGCCTTAGAGACTTGAAGAGAGCTGCAATCTCATGACTCTGCTTTTCCCAAGCGGAGCTGGCTGAGCTTCCTGTGCCTCTGTCACCTTGACTCCACGTTCTTTGTCAAGTCAAAGCAATTGCTGAGGTCAGGAAGGTGGGCTAGGGCTCCTGTGGTCCCCTACTGTGTTTCAACCAGTATTTCTTTCTTCCTCCAACCAATAAAGATTATTGGAACTTTATTTTAATAAAGGTATAGGACTATTTAGGTTGTCTATTTCTTCTAGAGTGAGCTTAGTTTGTATTTTTCAAACAATTTTCACATTTCATCTAAGTTGTCCATTCTGTTAGCATGAAGCTGTTCATAATATGTCCTCCATCGCAGAATTCTCACCTTCCATGCAGGAGGCCTGTGTTCAATTCCCAGCCATTGCACCTCAAATGCGGTCACCACCCATCTGTCAGTGGAGGCTTGCATGGTGCTATGATGCTAAACAACTTTTAGCGGAGCATCCAGACTAAGATGGACTAGGAAGAAAGGCCTGGAAATCTCCTTCTGAAAATCAGGCAGTGAAAACCCTATGGATCATAATGGTTTGATCCACAACCAAAGGACTGGGCAGCCTTTTGTTCTTTTGTGCATGGGGTCTCCATGAGTTGGGGACTGACTCTAGGGCAGCTAACAACAAATTTTTTAATATCTGTACTGATGCCACCTCTCGCATTCCTGATAATGGGTATATTTGTGTTCTTCATTTTTTGTTTTTTTTTTACTTTTCTGGCCAGAGGCTTATCAATTTTATTGATTAGTTCAAGGAATCGGCTTTTGGTTTCATTGTTTTTTCCTCTGTTGTCTTTCTGATTTCATTGATTTTTGTTCTGATCATCATTTCCTTTCTCCTGCTTTGGGTTTCACTTGCTCTTTTTCTATTACTGTGGAAGCTGAGGTCATTGATTTGAGTCATTTCTTCTTTTCTAGTACAAGCATTAAGTGCTATAAATTTCCCTCTAAGTACTGTTTTAGTGGCATTCCACAAACATTATATGTTGTGTTTTGAACTTCATTCAGTCAAATTACTTTCTAATTACCCTTTCGATATCTTTTTTGACTCAAGTTTATTTAGAAGTGTACTCTTTAGCTTTCGAATACAGTTTCTAAATTTACTTCCCAGATGTCTTAGTTATCTAGTGCTGATATAATAGAAATACTACAACTGGATGGCTTTAACAAAGAGAAAGTTATTCTCTCACAGTCTGGGAGGCTAGAAGTCCAAATTCAGGCCATCACCTCCAGGGGAAGGCTTCCTCTTTCTGTTGGTTCTGGAGGAAGGTCTTTGTCATCAATCTTCCCTTGGTCTAGGAGCTTCTCTGTGCAACAACCTCAGGTCCAAAGGACGTGCTCTTCTCCTGGCACCGCTTTCTTGGTGGTATGAGGTCCCCCTGTCTCCCTGCTTGCTTCTGTCTTTTTATCTCAAAATAGATTGACTCAAGATACAACCTAATCTTGTAGATTGAGTCCTGCCTCATTAACATAACTGCCACTAATCCTGCCTCATTAACATCATAGAGACAGGATTTATAACACATAGGAAAATCATATCAGATGACAAAATAGTGGACAACCACATGACACTGGGAATCATGGGCTAGCCAAATTGATACACATTTTTTGGGGACAAATTTCAATCTGTGATACCAGATATCTATTACTGACTTCTAATTTAATTCCATTGTGGCCAAAGAACATACTTTTTATGACTTGAATCCTTTTTCAAATATTTAAAAGATGGAAGACAAATGTTAAAGCATGTTTTTGTGCCAGTGGCAATAATCTCAGAGAGGGGTAACGATGAAGGAGAGAAAGGGAATAACTGAAGAACAAAATCCATGGGAAGGAGAGAATGCACGGCATCCAGGTCTCACGCAGGGGATTCACCTTGGAAGTAGGGCCATCTTCTCTTGAAATGAGAGAGAAGGCAGAGTGTGTGGCTCCAGTTGCAGGTGTGTTGGAGAAGCTGAGGTTGCTTTTCTCAAGGACGTCTATTTTCCCTTTGATGAGTTAGAGATTTGAGGTCATCAACCAAGAGGGATTAGCTTCAGTGATCTGAGGAAAGAATAGCTATTTTGAATAATGAGAATGTGAATTTATTAGGGAATGAGGCAGAATTGACTAGCAGAATTGGGGTCCGTTTGGGATCTGAAGTCATAGATGTCAAGACAGTCCAGTCTCCCCAGCATTGTTCAGTTGCTAGTGCAGGCTAGGGGGTGGGGTGGGGCGAGGTGATCTGATCAAGTTTGAGGGTTAGTGCTTTGCCAGGCTAATACAACAGCATTAAGGGTATGTCTTAGTTCCCTAATGCTGCTGTAATAGAAATACCACTAGTGGGTGGCTTTAAAGAACAGAAATTTAGTTCCTCACAGTACTGGAGGCTAAAAGTTCAAATCAGGATTTCAGCCAAGTCGATTCCTTCCTTGTAGGTAGTCCTGGGAGTTCCCTGGTTCCTTGGCCTGAAGATGATCCCCATATGACAAGAGTGTCTCTGTGTGTAATCTGATCTTTTTATAACCCACCCTACTCTGATATGTTCTAATTAATTTAACAAAACCCTATTTCCAAACAAGATTATATCCACAGGTATAAGGGTTAGTATTCCAACACATGTTTTCAGGGAACACAATTTAATTCATTAACAAGGTATTTGCAAGGATAGTTTTGGGCAATGGCCTCTAGGAATAGAATAAAGGGGCATGAGGGAGCTGGAGATTTATAACAGGGAAAAATTGTGGGACTGATGGAATAGACAGCTCTGAGTACAGGGGATCACTGGAGTGGAAGCACTGGAGATAGGAGCTGTGGTGAAATGAGTTCCTGAGGAGGCCTGTCACAGCTGTCCTGCACTGAAGTAGGGAGACTTGCCTACATGCTTCCTGATCTCGAGTTGTAGCCTATTGATCCTGATCCTGAGTTGTACCCTGTTACTTCCTTACTAAACCACTTAACTATAAGTATGGTCTATGAGTTCTGTGTGGCCGTTGCAATGGGTTATCGAACCCTGAAGAGAAATAGAGAGTGCCATGGCAGGGATGGCTGGTGTCAGAGTTGGTAAAAAGGTTGGAGAGTGGAGGTATGTCTCACCTCCACCTTGTACGAGTCACCATTAACACAAAGCTGATGGTGATTTTAGTTAAACCCTCTGAAGTAAGGTTTTGATGCTGCTATTACTACTACTACCATTTCACAGGAGCCAAGCCAGGCCTTGGAGGTCAGAGTGGGATGCTTTGAGATTGAGATCTCTGAGGTTCTGCAGACGAACCATGTGGTGGTGGGGGGTGGGGCATGAAAATCTTGTTGAGGGGAAGGCTGTCAAGGGACAGAAATGAAAAAACCAAACCCGTTGCCATCGATTCAATTCTGACTCATAGAGCCCCATAGGACAGAGTAGAACTGCCCCATAGGGTTTCCAAGGAGTGGCTCGTGGATTCAAACTGCCAACCTTTTGGTTAGTAGCCCTAGCTCTTCACCACTGTGCCACCAGGGCTCCACAAATAAAATGGAACAAGGGACAGGGAAGTCAAAATGTTGGAAGGATCTTCCACGTGGCTGTTGGCGTTATCAGAGCTGAAGGCAGGAGTGCAGGGGCAGAAGATAGGGAACATTGCTCACACCCAGGGCTGGCTTCAAAGTATGCACCCTCTACTGTCTCTGTCTTGAAATTCTTAATTTTAAAACCAAACCAGTTGCTGTCCAATTGATTCCAACCCATGGCATCCCCACCCTTGTCAGAATAGAACTGTGCTTCATAGGGTTTTCAATAGCTGATATTTTTTTCTAGAAGTAGATCACCGGGCCTTTTTACCAAGGCACCTTTGGGTGGACTCAAACTGCTAACCTTTCGGTTACCAGCCAAACACATTAACCATTTGTACCACCCAGGAACCCCCAATTTTCCTGTCTTTTCATTTTGAAGTGGGCCCTGAAAAGTATGTAGTCGGTCCTGCTCACACGTATCAATAAAGGGGTGTGGAAGGTGGTTTAGGGTAAATCATAGCAGTGGGTCCCAAATTTTGTATGTTGGAATCCCCTGGAGACCTTAAAAAGAACAAAACTAAACAACGAGAGCTACTGATACTTGCCCCTGGCTCGCATCCCCAGATATTGTGATCTAATTGGTCTGGTGTGTGA